CCCGATTTCTTTTTTGTTTACAGACGATATGTGAGGCAACGTGGTGAAATAAGACGCTCATCAAAATAATGAATTCATAGAAACTGAAATTTTTCAAGTTGTTGTGTTGGGTTTTTTTCTGACTCACCACCTTTTATGTCTAATTAGAAATACATCATATGTGTGCAGATTTTACTTAAGAAAAACATTGATAAACGAAACAAAAAAGTAAACTTCTGTTTTCCAAGATCACTCAAACTTTGGAAGTCACCTTTCGCAGCCATTTTCTCGCTGACGCCACCTCCTTCAATTGCTAACACCTCGACTTCTATTCAGGATAGATAAGTATTTTTTCGCCAACTGGAATATAAATGAACACGCCTTAAGATCATTATAATACCTCTGAACGCCCAATATATGACGAGAGCCTGGTTCCACTGGGTCGTGACACATAATGAGTTATCTGCAATGTCGGTTGTTAATGTTTTACACCCTCAACAATCCAGTTTACGTCATATTATGTGATGTATCGTGTAGAAAACAGGAGATCTTTAAAAAATTAGCTGAAAAAAACCGACATTTTCCCCTAAGTAGGGCAATTTTCACAGGTTTTTTTTTTTTTGCTTTGTTTTGTTTTGTTTTGTTTTGTATGGGGGTTTTTTCACACTCTTGCCTCAACACATTGAAAAATACATTTTTTGAGTGGATTCGACTGAAAATCGTTGATAAAAGACACACACAAACAAATGTTCAGTTTCGACAGTTTCCACATATTTATGAAACATATTATCTGAGTAAATACCAGAACTCTGACCCGACAGGTGAAAGGTTTGGTATTTTACAACGTGGACACGGTTTACAACCCACACTGTGATATGGATGATAATAAAATCGTGATTTTTTTATGCAGGTGTTTTATGTCCCCACAGACACAATTTAGGTCAGGTAGGAGGCGGGCTTCCGGTCGTGCTTGTTGGAGTAAAAGCGGGCTGAGAGGGATACAACATCCCAGAAGAAAAACCGAGATACTGGATAAAAATTCTCTCCCCTCCGGAATCGAACTCGGATCTTTTGAGTGTGACCGCGAAGCTCCTAACCTCTAGAAAAGATTTTGTATAACAAGATGCATCACCCCTCTCTTTGAACCAATTTAAAGAGTGTCCTAAAAATGCGGTGGCGCCGTTTTCGAAAAAGAGCCCGCACTGCGAACTGTTACCCTACTCTTGTGGAAAAAAGTCAAAGTGAAACTAACAAGTTTTTTGTATGAATTATGATTACAATTTCGAAAAAACACCTAATAAATTTTAATGGTGAGGCGGACAAAAATCCTCTTCAGGTGAAAGGGGCGACTGGTTTCTTTTTAAAATTTATCTTTAGAACGAGAAGCGAGAGGTTATTATATGTTAAAATAAAATAACCCCAAAACTCCGTTCTAAGTAAACCGGAACAGCTGATGCACAAGGGGTGCCATTCGTATTCTTCTTCTGGAGAAGCGAAAGAGAGCTTCAACCTTGACCTTGACTGTCAATGATTTATTTATAGAGGCACCAGCCATCCATGTCCAGGTGCTGTTTTAGCCTGTAGACCAAGATCTATGATTTATTTATAGAGGCACCAGCCATCCATGTCCAGGTGCTGTTTTAGCCTCTTTTTCGTGTCTGCAG